TCTGATGTGATCTTGGCCGCAGTATTTCCCGGCAAGTCCTCATAAACACATTTTTGGACGTCTAGCTGATTTTTGACTGCATGTCCTTTGCACTGTGTTAGATACTCTTTCTGACTGTTGAGCACTTCAAAGTATCTTAGATGCTCATCTACGCGTGCCACACACGTCCGGTTCGCACACACAGCGCTAGGGTTTCGCGGAAAAAGGCGGCTCGGATCCCAGCTGAGTAGGAATGCCACAGAGTTCATAGAAGTGGCCATTGAAGCCTGACTCTCCGTCCTGAGAGAAGGACCGAGTCATCCCGTCAGTTGGCAACCCACTAAGCCACGAATTTTAGCACATCGGGGTGGTTTAGGAGCAAGTCAGATTGTTTATAGTAAGGAGTGGGTTGTGTGCCGTGAAGACGGCGTCCCAGACTCGACCTCACTCTCCCTCTCTCTCCCCTCTACCGTACACCAGCACACTGTCCGAGTCGGTCAGCCATCAGGTACTGGGATCGGGCCAAGTGAATGACACGGCTTGGGCCTGCGCCTTGGGGTGCCACCACATCCTCCCCCCGTGTGTAGCATTTTGATGGGATAAGCGGACTGAACTTTCAACAGCCCCTACGTTCTCTGCTCCGTACCTTACCCTTAGAATACTCCATCAGTAGACAAACCAGTCATTCTTTGATGTTTCTCTTCGCAAAAATGAGATAGAAACGCCACACATTTGTGCTCATTACCGGGATGTTTAGGAACTTGTTTAAATGAGCTACTGTGCTTTAGTTAATTTCTTTCGCAGCGGAAACGGTACTATAAAGACTTTGAAGGTTACTTTATTGCTTCTCGTTATTCATCTACAGGAAAACAAAACGTTCTACTGTCTAACTGCAAACAAATAGCATTTAATTTTGCATAAGGAACTTGATCTAGTGTGCTATTACTTCGACAATCGATGCTGGCGAGGAGGGACGGTAAATTGCGCGTCAGTGATAGCGGACATGCGCTGCATCTACCTCACCCTCTCCTGTTTCACTCGCCTGATCTCGATGCCAGCACAAAGTCAAGGAGGCCGACAGCGGGATCGGGCATACTGACTGACAGAACTAATGAGTCCGTCTACGCGGACCACACACGCCCGGCCAGCATACTGGGTTTTCGCAGACATGAGAAAGAGACGGCTCGGATTCCAGCTGAGCACGAGTGCTATGGCGGTCACACTAGGGGGGAGTAATTGCAGTCTGACTCCCAGTCCTGAGAGGGGAACAGAGTTATTCCGCCAGCTGGCCGCATCTACCGCATTCCCCCCCCCCACCCTCCTGGGCCAAGCGTCAAAATAATGCCAAGAGGGCGGGTGGCAGGACCAGGAACAGGGGGCTGGCGCGGATTGAACCCGTGCCTGGGCGTGCCACAACACCACCTATAGGTGTGCGGCCCAACGACGCGTGCCGTACCATAATCTGGCTCCGTCGTAAGTTCCGCGTGGTCCGTTGCTGGCGGCGGGCTGTGCATCCATTTGTGGTAGACTATGGAGCTTACTGTAGCAACTTACACAGCTGGACAGAACATAAAGTCTTCCGCCCAGTTTTTCCTCTATGGCTTATAGGCAAAATGACATCACTGACAAAGAAAAGGGAGACGGGAATGGACATTTCTGGCTTGTTAGCCATCACCAGCCAGCCCTACACAACCCCGAGGTTCGAGCTCGCTACATGTTAGTTAAAAGTCCAGCGCTCTAATGACATTCTGCCTAGATTACGCGCCGTCCTGTGCGGCTGCTAGCGGGGCTCGAGAGAGAGAGAGGGGGGGGGGTTGGGGACACAACGGGACGAGTGAGTTCCATAACGCGATCAGTGTGCGCCTCTCTACAACTGTTAATGATATTACCGACAAAGACAAGGGAGACTGGAATGGCCATTTCTGGCTTATTAGCCGTCGACAGCCAGTCATGCCCAACCCCGAAGTGTGGAACATCTGGGGTTCGATCTCGCGACCTGTTAGTTAGAAGTCCAGGCCTCTAACCACTGGGCCACGAGCCCGTTGCCCTGTCGGTTTTCGATCGGGAATATACAATGGTAGGGGCGCTCACCGATCGTACTTGCGGCGATCGCAACCGACAGGACAACGAGTCCGCGGCCCAATAGTTAGAGTGTTGTGCTTCTGAACAACTGGTCACGAGTTCGAGAAAAGTCCTGGAATGATCAATCCAACCTCTCTTCCTTTGATCTGTAGTGTTGTTCCCCTTACATGTACTACTAACCACTGTGTGGCTGCTGGCGGGCTTGGGAGAGAGCCCCGAGGCACAACGGGATGAGTGGGTTCTGTAATACGGTCGGTGAGTGTCCCTCTACCATGCTATTGCTTATGTTTTGATTAAAGACGCTCCGTTGCATGAGCTCGGCAGCGCCTACTTCAGGCATTACTCGTGATTCAGAAGACGAAGATGTGATCACTGGAACAAGAAATTTATTGGCCTGACGTTTCGGATTAGTGATGTAAACAAAATTTTTGTACTCCAGCCCACTGTCACAAATTAAGTTTATGAGGCGATTTAGTTAGACTATGAACATGAGTCAACAGTCCAGCATACAAATTTGTCCCTGGCTAAGTTCCTGATGACCGATACATAATAGTGCCCTGATACCGACAAAATCTCCCTAATCATCCAAACTCGCCGTGTTATAGGGAAATAGAAACTTTCGGGTTAAGTTCCTCCGCTTCGAAATAATCCTGATTCTTAATAAGTATATAAACATACACACATGCGCACGTCCTAACTTCCCTATTGTAACTGTTAATCAGGAAAAGATTTTAATCAACCTGGCTGCCCACCTTAGAGTTAAACTTATTTTACCGAAGAGCTTGAGAAAAATGAAGGGCTGCCTGTTGTAGCATCAATCACTTTTCCTACGGCATCAAGCGCGTGTTTGCTGGCATTGTGCGGGCCTATTAAAAATTCAAATAATCTAGGTAAGTCACTGAATTTTCGGCTGGCTATGTAAGAAAGGACTTCCAGGGGAAGCTATAGAGTTAAGAGTACTAGACAAGGCAGAGAGAACGGCCGTCCCTCTTCCAAGTACAGCCTGCTTCCGAGGTTGCGTAATCCAAGCAATTAAATTGAAGAGTGCCTACCGCGCACGCACGCATAACATGCGCACCTCGTCGTCGAACATGCAAAAACTGGGTCTATTCCGACGCTGTCGAACTTTAAGACGAGGGGGTGCAGGAGCGGAGGCATGGCGAGGGAAAGAAAGGAGGAGGGATCCTGAGCATAGAGATACACATTCAACCCCAGAGACTTCCAGATGTGTTCATACTACTCTCTGTACGCGGGCACCTGCACAAACCACATGTACAGCGATTTGTTTACCGCTCTTTACCGTGTCACCTGATCAGGCCTGCAGGCACTAGTTCGCGCACATACACATCCATGGAAGAGTACAAAACTCATGTATATATGTGTGTCGGTAATGCCATTCTGCTTCTATATATATATATATATATATATATATATATATATGCAGAATGGCATTATATATGGCATTATATATGAATAACTGATGTGGTATGCATTCCGAGGTGATATAATGAAAAAGAGACTTCTCTTTTCATATATATATATATTCAATTAAGAATGGGTGCACACCGATCTATTGGATTCCCAAAACAGGCAAGCCCCGTATGGGTGGCAAAGGTCACAAAAAGGCAACCAACTACCAGGTCGAAGTCGACAAAGTCATAATAGCAGCGAGGGTGGACGGCAGAGAATGCGAGTAGATTGATAGAGTAATGTTTCGGACCTATTTTGCATTCATTCAGCCAATCATAACCATGACCTTGTTTGTAGAATGGGCATTACGTGGTTATTCCACAGTAGCTGATTGCCTTCGACTCGACTGTTCATTGAAATTTCGGGTCTAACCCTAAAAAGTCATGTAACGGAGGCTTAAGTCCATGTCCTGCACTGAAAGATTTCTGCAATTATTCGCTTAATCCTTCCCTGGAGTTTATATACCAGAATCCGCATAGGAAACGCTGGGCGACCCACTGAGGAGCCGAACTCCTCGCGGCTGTGTCGCTCAGCGACAGAATATCGGCGAACCACGTGTCTGGGCTTTTAGTTAGTACTTGCGTCGGGAGTACGGTGAAGTACCCTAAGTATATATGTATAAGTAATGATAGAGAAGCATTCTCCGACCGCGATGCGGGACACAATGGTCCCGCCTTGTGCCTTGGGATTCGATCTCGAGCCTCTCCAGCAACCATTCGCAACCGACGAGACAACGAGCCCGTGGCTCAATGTTTAGGATGTTGGACTTCTAAACAAAGAGTTGCGGGACCGAGCCTAAGATGTTGCAAATCCTGTGGTTGGGCATGGGTGACGGATAATGACTAACAAGACGGAAATGGCCATTCAAGTCTCCCTTAACTTTTTCGATAATGTTGTTCTGCCATTATATGCATATATGACAGACGGCCGCCCACCGATCATGTTACGGAACATGCTCTCTCCATATGGACTAGGGGTTCAGTCTAGAGCTCTCGCAGTCGGTCACATGGCGACTGAAAATATAAGCAGATGATTTGGTACCGAAAAAGACAAGGCGGAGACCCGAAAGTGGCCGGGTACGTATGGGTCTCGGGATCACGTTGCGCGTGTGTGGCACGCCAAAGCCCATTTGAGGTCTTCTTTACCTTATCTTGCTACCGGAACACGGTGGGTCTGGGAAGGGGAGGGTGGACGGCCGAAGGGAATGTCCGCTTCGCCATAAACGCATTCAAGCGCAGGTAAACATGCTGCCCCACTCGCCGCCGCCTCCGCCGCCAGACTGACAGGGTGAGCCTGCTCAGTCTGGCAGCCTGGAATGTTCGTTCTCTTTTAGACAACCCGAGGAGCCACCGGCCGGAACGGAGGACGGCGCTAGGGGCACGAGAACTGGCGCGCTACAAGGTGGACATCGCCGCACTCAGCGAGACCCGATTCTCTGAACAAAGCCAACTGGAGGAGGTGGGTGCCGGCTACACCTTCTTATGGAGTGGTCGACCCAGGGCAGAGCGATAAGACGCGGGTTCGCCTTCGCCATCCGGAACGACATCGTGGGACGACTGCCCAGTCTGCCGCAGGGAATCAAGGACCTCCTGATGAGCCTCCGTCTGCCTCTCCGGGGAGACCGATTCGCCACCATTATCAGCGACTACGCTCCGCCGATGAACAACCCCGACGCCGCAGGAGACAAATTCTACGAGGACTTGCACGCCCTCTTGGCGACTGTGTCGAAGGCGGACAAGTTGATTGTCCTTGGTGACTTCAACGCCCGCGTCGGCACAGACCATACTGCCTGGAGAGGAGTGCTGGGTCCCCACGGTCTCCACAGCTCGAACGACGATGATCTGCTGCTTCTCCGCACCTGCGCAGAACACCGACTCATCTAGATGAGCACGTTCTTCTGCCTGTCGGAGCGAGAGAAGGCCGCCTGGAGGCATCCTCGGCCGCGTCAGTGGCACCTGCTGGACTATGTCCTCGTCCGGAGGCGAAATCAGCCGAACGTGCTGGTGACAAAGGCGATCGGGGGCGCTGACGGGTGGACTGACCATCGCCTCGCCATCCGAAGATGCGTATTCGCCTACAGCCTCGCAGGTAAGCGACCCCCAGGTAAGCTGAATGTTTCCTTGTCTTTGCTCGCTCACCATTTTCATTTCAGCAAAGAGCTAGTCCAACGGCTAGACAACCTTCCTATCGCCGCCGACGCCGCCGCTGCCGAGAAAGCCTCCGTGGAGAGCCGCTGGTGTCAACTGCGAGACACGGTCCAGGCGACGGTGCTCGCCGTCCTCGGTCGAGCACGCCGCCAACACCAGGACTGGTTCGACGACAACGACGCCGTCATCAGCAATCTGCTTGCTGAGAAGAACCGCCTACACAAAGCCTTCGTAGACCACCCCAGTGATGCCAACAGACCTGCCTTCTACTGCAGTCGCCGCCAGCTTCAGCAGCAACTGCGCGAGATGCAGGACGCCCGGACTGCTCGCAAAGCTGAGGAGATTCAAGGCTACGCGGACCGTAACGAATGGAAGAACTTCTTCTCTGCGATCAAAGCTGTCTACGGTCCGCTGACTCAAGGCACTGTTCCTCTCCTCAGCGCCGATGGCCGTACCCTACTTACTGAGAAAATACAAATTCTACAGCGATGGGCCGAGCATTTCCGGGGCGTCCTCAACCGCTCTTCCGCCATCTCCGACGCCGCCATCGACCGTTTGTCGCAAGTGGAGACCAACGTGGACATCGACCTCCCGCCATCTCTCCAGGAAACCATCAGGGCCGTGCAGCAGCTCTCCAGCAGGAAAGCACCCGGATCGGACGCAATCCCTGCTGAGGTCTACAAGCACGGAGGTCCCCAACTGATGAATCACCTGACTGCTCTCTTCCAGGAGATGTGGCGTTAAGGCGAAGTCACGCAAGATTTCAAGAACGCAACAATCGTGCACCTATACAAGCGAAGAGGGAATCGCCAAGTCTGTGACAATCACCGCGGCATCTCCTTGCTGAACATCGCCGGGAAGATCTTCGCTCGCATCCTTCTCAACCGCCTCAATAACCACCTGGAACTGGGCGTTCTGCCCGAAAGCCAGTGCGGCTTCCGTCGTCATCGCGGGACCACGGATATGATCTTCGCCGCCCGTCAACTTCAGGAGAAGTGTCAGGAGATGCGGATTCACCTGTATTCTACCTTCGTGGACCTGACGAAAGCCTTCGACACGGTGAATCGTGAAGGACTGTGGAAGATCATGCAGAAATTCGGCTGTCCGGAGCGATTCACTCAGATGGTGCGTCAGCTGCACGACGGTATGATGGCGCGAGTCACGGACAACGGAGCTGTCTCAGAGGCATTCGCAGTGACCAATGGAGTGAAGCAGGGCTGCGTACTGGCGCCTACCCTCTTCAGTCTTATGTTCTCTGCCATGCTGATGGACGCCTACCGCGACGAACGCCCCGGGATCCGCATCGCCTATAGGACGGACGGTCACCTTCTAAATCAACGGCGGATGCACTTCCAATCGCGCGTATCCACAACCACCGTCCAAGAACTTCGCTTCGCCGACGACTGCGCACTGAACACCACCTCGGAAGATGAGATGCAACGCAGCATGGACCTATTCTCCGCCGCTTGCGAGAACTTCGGTCTGGTCATCAACACGCAGAAGACGGTGGTGATGCATCAACCGCCACCCAACACCGCCACCCAACACCGCCACCCAACACCGCCACTCCCCCATCGCGTCGCAAATCAGTGTGAACGGCACCCAGCTGCAAGTGGTGGAGATCTTCCCGTACCTGGGCAGTACTCTCTCCCGCAACACCATGATCGATGACGAAGTCGCCAACAGGATCTCGAAAGCCAGTCAAGCATTCGGCCGCCTCCAAAGCACAGTTTGAAATCGTTACGGTCATTAACTGAGCACGAAATCGAAGATGTACAAGGCCGTCATCCTGTCGACGCTGCTGTACGAAGCGGAGACTTGGGCAGTGTACACAAAGCAGGCACGCAGACTGAACCACTTCCACCTCAGTTGTCTTCGTCGCATCCTGAGGCTGAACTGGCAGGATCGAATCCCCAACAATGATGTGCTGTAACGGACGGGAATTCTCAGCATCTACATCATGCTGATACAAATGCAGTTGCGTTGGAGCGGCCACCTGGTGCGCATGGACGACAAGAGGCTACTAAAACGACTCTTCTACGGAGACGTCGCAACGAGTTCTCGCCGTCAATGAGGTCAAATTCGTCGATACAAGGATACTCTGAAGTCCTCCCTGAAGCGTCTGCAAATCAATCCCACCAACTGGGAAGGGCTCGCACTCGACCGAGCGACCTGGAGGAGGACAGTGAAGACGGGCACTGCGATCTACGGAGCCAACCGCATCGCCGCCGCCAAAGAGAAACGCGAAGCCTGCAAATCACAGCTGCGTCCACTCCGCAACGCCGACGCACAACCGCTTCCAACGCGTCCCCGACATCAACGGACATTCCGGGCTCGAATCGGACTTGTTGGACATCTTCGGATCGACTGCTCCTCTCGGACTGCAGCAACCATCGTCCCCCGCCCGCCTCTTCCTCGTCCTCTCTGCCGCCAACTAGCTCTGACAATTCTCCTGAACCACCACTACCATGCTCCTACTCCCCCTTTTTCTCCGCTTCCTCCTCCTCCTCCTCCTCCTCCTCCTCCTCCTCCTCCTCCTCCTCCACTGCACCAACGACGGCCGCTCTGGCGGCTGTCACGCACATTAACACCACGCATAACCCTGACATATCAACAGACACCATCCCACCAATCTCCGACTCCAGAGGTGAGGACCAGGACTACACCCGCCCTCACTGCGACCGCACCTTCACCTCACACATCAGCCTGGTCGGTCACTTACGAATCCATCGCACAGAGGCTGAGGAGCCAAAGCCTGGAGCACCAACCTACACCCACCGCATTCGCCTCCACTACCAACACTGTCCTCGCACCTTCACGCATCGCATGGGCCTATTCAGCCACATGCGCATGCACGAACACCTGCGGTAGACAACCGCCGGCTGCACCACACCATCACACCCTCCCTCCCTGCCTTACCGTCGTCGCCGCCGCCGCCGCCGCCGCCACCACCACCACCACCACCACCGCCACCACCATCATCACCACCACCCGACCGCACATCAACACTCACCCACCACAAGCACCCAACTGCCACCTCCCACGAAAGTGGGCAGTGTGCGCCTCGACTCGGTCCCCAAGCGGCTTCGGCTGCACGGGCTACCTGAGTCTGAGACTATCCCGAAACATCGAGCGTTGTGGATAGGAAGGCTGTTGATTGACGTCCCCACTCGGTCCATGCAGTCCGTCCCGTTGTGTGTGTTGTATGGAAAGACGGAGTGGTGGGCTGGGAGACGGGTTGAAACAGCACCTTCCACGGCCCTCTCACGCCGTCCAAACCCCGTTGTGTGAAATCCTGGTGTGTGTGCGTGGAGGGCCAGGTCGTGCATGTGACGCACGCAGACATGGCCAGCCGACCATGACAGCCACCGCGCTCATTCCCCACTCCAGTCTAATGACCGGCTCGGACAGTGGCTGGAGTGTGGGAATGGGAAGGGAGAGTGAGGTCGACGACTCAGCACATTTATCCTCACTAGAAACAATCTGACGTGCTTGAAGCTATCACGGTGAGCTAAAAGCCGTGACTTGGAAGGTTGCTAACTGACGGGGTACCTTGAACCTCCTCCTTAACGGGAGGCGGTCTGAGAGTCAGGCTGCAATGGCTCCTTCTTAATGTGGTCTTTATGGCACTCCCATCACAGTGTGGGATACGAGCCAGGCGTTGGTGGCACACCTAGGTTCGGCTTCGGTCGTGCCAGCCTCCAATCTCTAATGTGTTGGTCGAAATACTGCTTATTGTTGTGTGGTCCAGGGGGTGTGGTGGAACGCCAAGGTGAGGATCCGTCCGAGCCATCCACCTGCGGCCTCCCTCGTCTCTGTCTTGACACCGGGCTCAGTCAGGGGAGGAGGAGAGAGTGTAGGTAGATGCAGCGCAAGTCTACTGGCACTATAAACCCCTGCGCAAGTCACCGTCCCTGCTTCCACCGTTGCTGCTGCAACTGTGGGGCACACGGTGGACATCGTCGAAATCGACGGTCGAACTGTCGTGTGTGTGTTCAGCCCAGTGAATAGCAACCTAGAATGGATCCATTTGCGAACACATACAAAAGGCTTTTGGTATGACACTGAAGTCGCAGTCTGTCTGCACATGTGCTTTCCAACAAGAAGAACAACGCGCACACCTTTATGTTTAAAGGCTACGGACTGAAATTAAGCCACTTGGCACACTGCCAACTCGCAGGGGCTTGTGCGCGAACTAGAGCACATTTAAACAGGCGCCTGCCACGCGACTCTGCCCACATGCACGCACTTGTCAGCCAAGCGGCATACCAAGGTCATCAAGCGGCGCCGCCACCGTGTAAATAGAAGTAGCTGCAGAGAAGGCAGGCTGTATTTTTCTTAGAAAGACCTCCCGTTCTCCGCGCAACGTAGGTCCAGTTACTACATGCCCAAGTGGACAATCACAGATAAAAAAACTGGTTTCTGTGCCTTTTGTGAGGCAAGACAAATAACAGCCACATAGTACACGTCGGGTGGGGGAAGTGAGTGGACTGGGTGGCACTCCAGATGGGACTGGAAATGTTGGTGACTTAAAGGGGACCTGAGAAGCCGGGCGGATTTTCGTCCGTCACAT